GCAGGTCAAGCAAGAAATGCCACCTGCCAAGGAGCCACAATGCTTTGCAGATCTCTCACAACATAGAATGCCACAAGGATAGGAAATGACATTATTGATATTTGTCTTTGTAGAGCACTTGAAAAATTGCTGGTAGCATGAGAAGAAAGCATTCCGAGGCCAACATGCTATTGTAGCTTCCTTGTATTCAGTCAAATTCGAGCTGCCTAATTTCTCGAAACTTTCACTGTGTTTTGCAACATTCTGCTGTGCTCTACGTTCATTCAGGCAACGGCGACTGTGTCTGCTGTGAGGCCGGTGGTTATCGATGGGCGTTTGTTCTTTTTTCAACGCCAGCAATCGTGCTTGCAATCATCGAGACAGCAGGGTCTTTAAGAGGATCGCAACCAAACCTCATCCATCCTACATGTGCATGGTGCACTATAGTTTATAGAAGGTCATCCAAACCTCATGTGCCATTCAAAGTTGCATTCCTTCTTTGTCCAGAAGTGATACATATTGAGTAAAAAAGGAAGGAAGGAAAGAAATGGCCCCAAGGCCTAAAGATACAAAAAGGAAGAAAAGAACGGGCATGTTGTCGCTTTTTCAGGTGGGAGGAGCTGCTCACCGAGCAGCAGGAGCGCTATTACCACGAGGTGAGCGCTAGCCGCTAGCAAACGAATTCGCGATCAGCCGGCTAAGAACTCACGATTGTTCTGTCCCATCCAACAATCGCTGCATATGAGATTGATTCCATGTGCTTTGGGCTTTGGGCAAGGCTCCCGTTTCTCGCTTTAAGAGGCTCCGAACCCACACAGAAGACCGGAGCGGTAGGAGGTCGCTGGTGGGGTGTTCCGGGCTCCGGTCGGACGTCCGGTTTCGGCGTCCGAACCGGTGTCCCACGTGGGAACCGGGCTCCTTCGGTGTCCTTTAAGAAGCGAGGCCTCCAACCTAGTAGCAATGGCCTCCAACCTACTAGTCATGGCCTTTTCGACATGTCAAAAGCCACATGGTTTTTGAGACCCCGAACTCTCGCCCCTGGCGGTCGACCCTCCATCCCTTCTCCGAGCCGGACGCTTGCTCGCCAGCGGGTCGGTCTCCCAAGCGCTTCCTCGGTGGATTGAGCAGTATTGAGCAGCCTGACGGAAGGGGGCGAAGGAGCTTTGACTTGTGAAATCCCATGTCCATTCCAACGAGAATCGTGAAAATGCAGCATCAACGTCATCTTGCTTTGTGCCGAACGGGCGGTGGTGTTTCTTGTTCCAAGTGATCCGTGTGCCAAACCGCAGGTGGCCACAGGTCGAAGCCAATGGGACTTGCCCAGCGAAGGCGACCGGTCCCGGTCTTCATGTGCTTCATCGATCTCACAGGACTCGACCGGTCTTCTGCGACCCTATACCCGTTCGAGTCGTCCAGTTCGAGATGTCTGAAGCGGCTGAAGTAGTTCGGAAGTTCCCGAACTCACTCAGGTCCCGGTTCGTCAGACCATTTTTGTTATAGTCGACTGAACTCCCAAGGTATATGTAGGTCCAGAAATGCTTTGCAGAGATGCATCCTTTGTCTTCACTCCGACCTGTGAGCAGTGAGCGCTTGTGTGTGACATCCTTCACTGATGCAGTGCCTCAAAATCCTGTTTTGATATCTGGCTCCACGACTGGGGAAGAATTGGCATGGGTCTTTCCAGCGTGGCGAGCCGATGGCGTCCAGGTTGGGTGGCACTCCTGGATGACGACGGTGCGAAACCCCAAGGAGCACGGCACTGGGAAGGAGGAACCGCACGCTTTGACACCCAAGATGCTTTGGGTGGGGATGATATGACCTGTGAAGATGGGGTCCCCTTATTGAGATAACCACAGGTCTTAAGACCTTAGAGCTGGTGACCGTGTATTTGGTTCAAACCCGTCCACAACATGTACTTCGCAGTACCGGTTATCGTCGTAGATTGCAGGGTCTCTTTTTTGCCACTGGGAGACTATACATTCAATAGAGGTCTCCATCCATCCAGCATGGGGATCAAAGTGCCAACCCTGAAGCCCTGCAGGCAGGAAACCGAGGGTTTGAAGGTCTAAAGAAAGAAAACGGAAGACATGACCCAGAGGGTCTGAGTTCTCTCAGAAACGCTTACGCTTCGGTGCACTTTTTCGGCTCAAGACCCATTTGGGCAACGCAGCACACGTGGCGTGTCGCGGAGAGAAGCCGTGTGAGTGCTTCGGCTGAGCAGGAAGATCCAAAAAAACAGGGCAAGTAAGGAAGGAAGGAAAAAAAGAAAACCACTCAAAGAAAGAAGGAAGGAAGGAAGCAAGGAAGCAAAGAAGGAAAGAAGGATTGTTGTTGTTGTCGTCTTCTTTATCTTTTGTTTCGTTGGACCTGTTAGACCGTGACCTTCTTTCTTTCTTTTCCTGGGCTTTGAAGCTGTCACGAACCGCATGGGATAAGAGAAGTTCGTGGTTTTCCTGGATTCTTGAACTATTCTGTTGAAGCTACGAACGGGGCTCCTGGCATCGCTACGAACGGAGCATTCTTATTCTGTTGATGTGGCTTCTGCATCCCTCAGTTTCTCCAGTGAACTGAGCCACATCGGACACTCGCCCGGTGAAATGCGGATCAACGGTCGAAAGCCATACGCTGTCCCCATGCAGCGCCCGAGGTTTCATCCACCGTGCCCCCCTTCCCAGTCATCGGTGATCAGGATTTGTCCGGCCTGCAGCGGTCACCTCCTGCGAAGCATGGGTGTCACTTGGCCAAAGGAGTGAAACAAACGAAGCTAGTTGCTACTAGTAGAAATGCCCTAGCTACTAGTAGCGTCCTTGCTCCAACTAGCGAATGCCCTTTGCTCCTAGTAGCTTATTGCTACTATGGGTGTCACTTGCTACTATGGGTGTCAACACCCCTGCTGTGTTTGAGTCTCCCAGTGATATCTATAGAAAACAGAAATGTGAGAATACAAGAGAAGGTTGAGTGCAGAATTGATCGTTTCTTCCTCATGAGCTTGCCGTAATACCTTTACCTGTGTTGAGCACGACAACGATGTCATTCAGCAACTATGAGCACCCGAAACTGATCCAGAAAGAACCGGAACTCGATGGGTTGTCCCCTTCCAAAAGAGATGCTCCTGAAAGACCTCCGTCGGATTCCGTCCCAAAAGACCTCCGTTTCTGAGGCCTGGCGCTGCGAAGTGGAGCACGTCTTCGCCTCGACGCTGGACGACCAGTCGTCCGAGCAGGTCGAGCGGGTCGAGGGGCTCCTGGAGGCCAAAGTGGAACGACAAAGCGCCTTGGAACGGCGGAGAGGGGAGTGGAGCGATATGAGAGAGCGGTTGGAGAGGTACGGATGGGTTGGAGAGTGAGAGCCTACACAAAGAGCGAAAACACCGTGAGCTCTCATGCTAGATCTAGCGACGTTTCACCAGCTGAATCAACAATTGGTCCATTGTCATTGGATGATCCGCTGATGCCCCAAGAGTGTCTTTTTGGGTTTTGGAACTGGTACTTGGGGTTTCTACTGCCTTTTGAGTCTTTGAGAAAACTCACCTGGACTGCTATTGCATAAGAGCGTTGCATTCATATGATGGGAATGCCCTGTCAAAGGATACGTAGGAGACAAAACAAGAAAGATATCCTGAAAAATCCCTATGACAAGGTTCCCAAACATTGAGAAACGATAGAGGACTCACATTTTTGTGACGATGCTTTTCGCCACACATCATCGAAACCTCCACCGGTACCTCGAGAGAGGTCGCTGCTCGGGAGAGCAGCCCTCAATGTGAGTCTAGGCCAACCGATCCCGGATTTGCCCCAAACGCACCCCTCGACCTTCTCGGGACCAAACGCACCGATGACCTGCGACCACATCGGACGGACGCCCCCGCGCGAGGTTGCTTGGAGCTGCTTCAGTCCATTGGTGGGTCCTTGGAGGAGGCGGAGGCCTTCATGGAGGAGAACGGACACGGGTTCGGTGCTGGAAACCTGGACTGAGCTTTATCCCGTGTGATATGATGTGATGTTTTTATCACTTGAACTCCCTCCTCAGAATTGTACCCGAGCTCTTTTTCCCGCACTCGGCTTCGATCTCTCTCGCCGGTGGTCGACGGTGAGGAGTATGGCGAGTCTCAGATCAGCACCTTGGCCGGCCAGATCGACCTCTGGCGCCGCGGTTTTGGGGCGTGGCTCGTGGTCTTTTTTGGGGGTTGGTTGTTGTTTGCAGCGGTTTTCGGGTTAAAAAGGACGAACTCCTAGTCTATGCGCTGGTTCAGTGGTTGATTTCGATTGCTTGGTGAGACTTATCTCTGAGGCGTCAAGGATTTCTTGGATCTTTTCTTCGAGCCGGAGGTGCCTGGCCAAGAGCGTTTGTGTAAAATGACGAGTGCCAAGTGAAACGCCACCCTCAGTCTCACTCAACGAAGCATGCAAACTGGCTCAATTAAGCATTGAAGTACTCTCCCGTCCCAGTTTTTGTGCCAAGCAGGCCTTCCACTAGATCTATGTCGATTAGCATAAGGTTGACAACCAGAGAGGAAAAGGCAAACAGTTCCTGATGACGGCGAAATGTTTGTGCATCGGAAGCCGATGCTCTTTCCACGCAGGCAGTGCCTGACAGCGATGGAGAGGAGGCAGATGACACCCGGCCCATGAAACACGTGGTGCATCGTGCGTCCGAAGGTTTGCGGCTTCTGTTTTTGGCTGGAAGGAGTGAGTGCCTCGTGGGCTGATGACGTGTCACTGCTGAGCCGAATACCATGCGGGGGGTCACTGCTCGTAGGGTGATGCGAGACCGAACACCGGGGTTTGCATCAAGTTTATCTGAATCCATAAGACTTCCATCTCAGAAATATCTATCCTTGAGTTACCTCTATTGAGCCAGACTTGAAGTTCTTTGGGCAGGTCATCGAGAAGTCCGAGTGGATGCAAAAAGCGAATGAGAACGGCCTGGCGTTGCAGTTTGCCTCCAAGGAGCTTCAGAATGACAAGGAGCGACTCATTCTCACAAGTTTGTACTGTCGTTTTGGCTGGGAAAGAGCGGCGTAAAAAAGAATCCAAGAAAGTGAGAATGAGAATCCAGCCATTTGTTGTGAAAAAGAAGTGGTTTCATCATGTCTGATCTCTTCAGTTCTGATCTTTCCAGCAAAAGCAGTTCTGCCAGAGCACTTCCAAGGAGGTGATGCTGGCAGCCGTGCAGCAAAAGGGTTTGGCCTTAGCCTTCGCCTCCGAGGAACTGCAAAGCGATAAGGACCGTGGTGTCCCCAACTCCTTTGCTTTTCATTTGTCCCTTTCACCGGGTGTCTTTTCCACTGTTCCATGTTCTTTTAGATTTTTAGACCTTCATGAGCTGTTCTTCTTTCCTGGGTTATTTTCTTCTTGAGGTCTTTTTGAGAGCTTTTTTGGGTGTCGAACGAGCCAGGACATCGTACTGGCTGCGGCACGGCAAGACTGCAACGCGGTCCTTTTTGCTTCGGAAGAGCTTCAGAACGACAAGGACGTCGTGTTGACTGCTGTACAACAAAACGGCTACGCGCTGCGGTTTGCTCCTTTGAAGTTGAAGAACGACGAGGACATCGTCTTAGCTGCTGTCCAGCAGAGGGGCCTTGCCTTGAAGTTTGCATCTGAAGATCTTAAACAAAACAAGGCGGCCGTGTTGGCTGCAGTGCAACAGGCAGGATTTGCTGTACAATTTGCCTCCAGGGAGCTTCAGAACAACAAGGAGGTGATGCTGGCTGCAGTACAGCAGAACGGATGTGCCTTACAGTTCGGATATGATTTGAAGAAGGACAAACATGTGGTCCTTGCAGCGGTCTTGCAAGATGGCCATGCTTGGCACTTCGCATCGGAGGAGCTCCGACAGGACCGAGACATTCTGCAGGCCACCAGCATCGAGTGAAAGACGATGGGACCATCGGCGGTTCGCGTTCGGTCCCTGGACCCATGCCATTCTCCACGGGCTCCGCTTCCGCTCCGTTCGCGTCCTCTGGCCGAGGACAGGGGATGTTTCCCACCATCCCTTCGCTTTGGCCAGAACCGGAGGGGAGGGCGAAAGGTGCGGGAAAAAGATGGAGAAAGTGTCGGGCCCGGATGGGCAGAAAGGATGAGGAGTTGGTGCTCCACCACGGGAGCCTTCGGACGAGTTGGAACCTCCGACGACGAGTTCGTGTTGTTTCAGAACGTTGGTGTTCGCACCGAAGGAGAATGGGAAAGACTCATCGGTTTTGGTGCTGGACGAGGTTTAAGTTCGGCATTTCGATCGTTTCCCCTTTTAGCATGCTTAAGCTGCTGTAGCCGCCAAAGGCGGCTTGATGCACGTGCAGAGACATGGAGACGGAGACTCCCCCATCTCGGCGTCCTCAAGGGACGCTGCATCGACGGATTCGGCGCATCGGAAAAGGGCATGCGTTTCGTTCTCTTCTACCAGTATGTCTCAAAGTCGCTAAGAAGTACGTCTAGATTGGGAGGCTAAAAAGAAGACGGACTTCAACCGGCCACAACGAAGCTTCGGTCGACGTGTCTTCGCCGAGGTACCAAGTACTACTGGGACCCCGTGGCTGGGACCACTCAATGGGACCCGCCCTCTTAGGCGCCGGATCCTTCGCGGTGTTTTGATTGAAGCCGGTGAAGCCGTTTCTTGTCTTTTTTGGGGGGTTTCGCAGTCTTTCTTAGGGTGTTTGGGTTCTTTAGACCTTGAAAACTTCTCTTGTCTGTTCGTTTCCTTGAAGCCTGTATCACAGCTGTTAGCCCTTGCCCTGTTTCCTTCTTTCTGTGTTAGGTTCAGAAGCGGGAAAAGGGATGGAAAGGGAAAATCCAACAAGTTATCAAAGATCTCATCAGCTCCGCTGTCTTGTCGTTTGTGTGACGATCTTCACCCAAGACGCACCACGGAACGGCGAATGCGATGCAGGTCCAACAGCTTGACCGACGAAAAAGAAGCGGAGGGAAGTGCAGGGTGAGATGGAGACGCACAGAATCGATGATGGTTCTTTTGGTGTTTCGTTTAATGCCAGGAGCGCCCCTAGTAGCGTCCGATCGCTCCGTTCGTAGCGATGCCAGGAGCCCCTAGTAGCTTATTGTTCCTAGTAGTAAGGCCAGGAGCCCCGTTCGTAGCGTCCTTGCTCCTAGTAGTAAGGCCATGTTTGTTTGTTATTCTTTTTCAAGTCATCAGACCGTTGCGACCTTCGCACAGAAGAAAGGCCAAGACTCCACTCAAGATGCAGTGCTCAACAGCCGTTTTGGCCCACTTCTTTGTCCTTTGAGCTTGGAAAATAGTGGAGCCCAAGTAAAAAGAACGAAGGGATCCCGCATGGACATCGCTTGACACAGTTTACATCGGCCCTCTTTGCAGAAAGGAATGGAGTTACAGCCAAGAAAGCCACCTGACCATTCCACATCTGACCTTTGCATGTAATTCACTCGTTATGTGCTGCTGGGAGCCCTTTGGCAGCAATCTTCGGATGTAGTTCGGCTTTGTGTTTTTACGTTGCTGTTTTGACAGCGGTTTCGGTGTGCTGAGAGATGAAGACTTAAAGGAGTGGCACGGCTTCCACAGGGCGAGTTGAGTCGAGCTGAGGAACCAATGCGAGTTCACCTGGGACATCATTCTGGTCGTCCTTGGCTTGGCCACCGCCGTGGCGGGTGTCTCCATTGGCACCAAGGGCTTCCTTGAGGCGAGGCGAGCCGCCTTCAGTCGCACCAAGAGGGTCGCCCAATTCGACGTGCCAAAAACGAACACGCAAGACACGTTTTCGACTTCTTTGTGCACTTTGTTTCATATAGCACTTAGGCCGTGATGGAGCCTCTTTTTCTTTGTCATCTTTAGTTTGTTTCCTTTTGTTAGAAGTGCTCTTGTAAGTAATGGTTCTGAGGATGCTACTTTCCAGCTTGGACCACAAGGGTCAAGATCCTGTTAAAGCCCTCCTTTTTCAAGTCTCACCTTCTTTGCATTCAAAGATCCGCACGTGTTTTTTTCTCCAGACTTCTTTGTGCAGTTCTCTTTGTGCGACTTGATTCAGGGCAACAGCTGCTGCGATGGCTGGGGGAGTCTGGGAGCTTAGACTAGGAGCTTTTGGAACGAGTTCGCCGCTGGGCCGTTTGACACCGACACCGCACAGGTGGAGCTGCTCGAGTGCTCGGCAACCTGTCGGGGCCTCAGAGCGGAGAAGCTCCGTTCTCCCTTGATCGGTCCTGACCTGTCCATCCAGATGAAAACCGAATTTGGTTGCTCGGTCCAGTTTGTTCGGATCAACTCGATGTCATGAGGTCACACCTGTAGAGTCTAACAGAGCCCCCCCCCCACCGTTGCGCTCCCGCAAGTTGCGCGCTGAAGATGCGCTGCAGGGAGATACTGGCCGGACTTCTCTTTGTCGTGGTCCCGCCCGAGTCTTAGATGGAAGAAGTCCTCCAGCCTAAGAGCAGCGATGGCCTCCAACCCAAGAGCGATCAGCTGATATCCACAGCAGTTGAAAGCAGACATTGCCCAGAGGTCCTTCACCGTAATATGCACTGTCGTGCTCATCCAGTCCTTCTTCCACACAGGGCGCTTCCGGATACCCCAGTTGGACTGCAGCTTGGCGTTCCAAGATGTAATGGAAGTCTAATGTGTGGATGCAGCGATGGCTGATTCTGCCTGATTTCCTCTGAAAGTCTTTGGATTCGGTAAGTCGATCAAAGTGTTTTTTTTTCACGGAGATGTTCTTCGGGTAGCCCGAGATGGGCAAGGTTCAAAGCTTCTCAAGGTTCTTTGCAGACATTCTTTGATGTTCTTCCTCGGAAAACGATCTTTGAGCTCCAAGTGGGTTGTCATTGGATTTGATGCTTCGTGCCGAGGTCTAACTACTTCAGCAGGGCTAAGAGGCCTTCAATTGCTCTCACAGCTCCCTGGAGAGACAAGTTGAAAAAGCTCCTAGTAGCAAACATGTCTCCTAGTAGTAAGGCCAGGAGCCCCGTTCGTAGCGTCCTTGCTCCGTTCGTAACGTATCAACGCTCTATCTTTGAAGAGGTTTTGAGAGGTGGTTGTCTTTTTGCGAGTCTAGAATGCCAGAGAAGGGCTGTGTCTTCACCACTTCCGCTTCGGACCGAGTTTGCTGTTTTTCATGGGCTTGTTCCTCTCGCAGCTGCTGCTTTGTTGGGTAAGTCTGGAGCTCAAAGGCCGTCAAATCTGTTGAATTCTGTTTTTAAGATCAACCTGATAGCGATGGCCTCCAACCTACTAGCTTCTAGCTAGTAGCGGTGGCCTCCAACGTCAAATGGAACTCCTTTGCTATGGACCTTTTCCATCCTTTTCCACTGGTCACTGACCTACCGAGTTGGGACGTCGGTCTTGGGGCACCTCTGCGGCAACCAGTTGATGAGACAACCAGCACAAGTCCTGGTGCCCACCTCGGTCGGTGGCGCGTCAGACGGCGACGCGCTGTGGCGCGTCAGACGGCGACGCGCGGGCGACGCGGCGTGAGGTCACGGGGCTCTCACGATCCCCCAGCGATATCTTTCAGGCCAAACTTGTGAGGGCGTCGACATCGCACGCTAGACGTGAGGACGTGAGACGGTTCTTTTTTTGTTGGTTGTTTTTTTTGACAAGAGTTTTGTTGAAGTCATGAAGTTTTGGTCTCAGAGTGGAAGTCGAGCCTCCCACGCGACGTTCGGTGACCTTTCGCCAGAGCTTCTTTGAAGATGCCGCGGAGTTGCCCTTTCTGACGCTCAGTTTAAGGCAGGAGGGTGCCCTGTTGCAGAAACCGTTGAGATCAAGTCTCAGCAAAAACGCGAGAAGCTCGACGAATTTACTAGGTTGGAGGCTGTCGGTATTCATGTCAATGAATTCCTCTTGAAGCTCTGAAAGCACACAATCCAGGGCCTTTGTTTGACAACTACCCAAACCCAGGTACAGAGGACAATCGCCCAGATTGCAGACTTGCGGTATCTCGTGCTCATGTGAAGCCTTAGTACTGCAATAGAGAACTCTTGATCCCAAGACCTTGCAGTGGCACTAGTTCCCCAACTCCAAAAAGCTACGACGTAGGTCAACGCGAGTAATTTGCGTCATTTCTCCACCGAGAGCACAAAATGAAATCCCACCTGTTTCTATGCAGCTTAAAGATCATCCAGCATGTGCAGCAAATGCAGAATGTCAGGGAGGCGATGAAAGGCTTGAACTTGAACAGCTACTGCAACAACTCTCCCAATGCCGACCAGTGCGCCGACCAGAGAGATTCCCAGTGTCACTTCTGTGTCACCTCTGTGTGACCACATGCTTTTCTGTCCTCTCATGGCATCCATGAGATGTCCGAGATGCATGAGGTATTGGCCTCCAACCTAATAGCAATGGCCTCCAACCTAGCGATTAGCCAGGTATTTGCACGATATTTGGTTGGGCTCGTTCCTTTTGATGCTCAGCCAATCCTTCATGGCCCCGCCCTGAGCAACCGTTTTCTGGTGAACGTAGCTCCTAGTAGCTTCTAGTTTCAATTCTAATTAGATTCTAATTAAATTTAGATTCTAATATGTCTAATTGATTCTAATGTTACTTATTTCTTGTTTCTCATAGCAAACATTGTTCCTAGCAGTAAGGCCAGGAGCCCCGTTTGTAGCGTCCTTGCTCCGCTTTGTCCGGAAGGGTCTTCTCATCTTCACGAGGCCATCGCACTCCGCGGTGAAAAGCAACGCGTCGGTGTACACGAGTTGAATGAGGCCAGGAACCGGATGTGATCCGCAACCGGAGGAGTTCTCCGTTCTCTGCTGTTCTTCTGTTTGGTGCAAAGAGTGAGTTCTTTGCTGTTCTTCTTTGTGGTCAAATCGAGTTTTTTTCTTCAGATTTTTAGAGCAATCGATTCTCTGTGTCATCTGGATCGTGCAAAGAGATTGAAAGTGGGAATCTGGCACAACAAAAGCGCAAAGCTTTGCCAGGACGAATACGGGACACTTGGCTGCAAAGCAATGATTAAGGTGAATGTTTGTTCAGTCCAGTAGCCCAATAGCAATGGCTTCCAGCCTAAGAGCGATGGCCTCCAACCCAAGAGAACATAAGAAAGAGTGTGTAAAAACAGACTGGCTGGAACCACGATTTGAGGCTGGCCGGTGAGGCAGGACCGGATGACGCCTCCGAGGATCTCTGAAAAAGCGCTGGTTGAAAAACACGGCACATGCCCTTTCTGTCCGTTCTCAATCGAGGCCTTTTAGGCCTCAGACCAGCCAGAAACATAGGCCTTGGAGACCAGCGAAAGGCGTTCTCGCCTTTGTTCCCCAGCTTTCGAGCTCCTGGGGTTTTTACAGTAGTAACAAGTGCCTTACTAGTAGTAACAAGAAGCTATTAGAAACAA